CCCCAAAACCCCAAAACCCCAAAACCCCAAAACCCCGACTAGAGAAGGCCACATTGAAACATTTAGAGAGTTTTACATCCAGCCTATGGGTCTGGACGATCAGACTTTGTAGGAGGCCTAGCGAATAGCAGCCTGTCAAGATATTCCTCAATCAGATGAGCCTCCCTCCCTTTGTTACGCATCTTCTTGTTGATATTTTTGTACTTTTCTAAGTAAAATGCCGTGGATTCGTTGCTAAAGTTGAAATTTTTAGGGATATTAGGGTGGAAATCGGGTTTTAATACTAGTGAGAAGTTTTGAAGTGGAAGTAGTTTAATGGATGTTATTTCTCAATTAAAACTCATTTTATATTTCACTTAAAGGATACAAATAATACCTCTTCATCACGGATTGAACTCATTTTGCTATGTTCTCATCTACGACTCTTCTTGTCTCCTCCATTCTTTCTGCAGAAAGAGAGCTATCAGCTTTGAGCCCACTGCTCATCCTAGAGTCCTATAAAGGTCATTACTGTAAGATGTACTCTGCGTCTCTTCTTTAGAATCTATAGATCAATAGAGTAAATCTAACCTTAATATTACTTAGGCTATTCTTCATAGCAAGCTTGGCCTTCAAGTTCTTACTTAAGTTAGAACACATCTTCTGAATCTTACTCGGAAGGCGGTTCGATAGCTTTGAATTCAATTTTAGCCTCTTCTGGTTAGACTTGTGTTCAAATCTTGTTTTCAGCGCACTTTTTGGTCTATTTTATTGATTTCTCAATTAAGATTTTCTTTGCCACTTCAAATTTATTTATGCGAATATTGCTTTCTGACGAAGACTGATCTATCTCCTTTTCTTTCTCTTGATAAACTCTACTAAATAAGTCAGAATTTAATACCTTCATTGATCTTTTGACTTGAGGTGAGCGACCATAGTGTATCTGCCTTGTCTTCTTCTTAGCTTTTCTCTCAGAATGATGGACTTCCACACTTAAGTTTTCTTCAAAATGAACCATTTTATTCGAGTCAAACTCTGAGTCACCTCTGAAGCCTCCTCTTCTTCGAATGCTGCTAACCTTGCCAAACCTGTTGCCTAGATTTTAAGTGGGAATTGGTACAGTAAACTTTAGAACTTTCCTCTTTGATATCTTTCATGGTTTTCTTTTCCTTTCTTAAGCTACCATTACTCTTCATGCTAAAATCGTATTTCCTCTTGGTTTTCTCATCATTATCTTGAAGTGTCTTTAGCCTTGTGATAGACCCTTTCTTTTCTATTAGAGCATCATCCTTATCAATATAATCCCAGGCAAATGTCTTACTATATATTTTTATTGAGTTGAGCAGTAAAAGTTAGACATTTTACAGAATCGTAGAAAAATACCCACTTTTCTGTATTTACTAAAGTTTCAGAGTAAAAGCTTACTCGAATATGCTAAGGCTCAAGCCGAAATCCTTCCCTTTGGATAGTAAATCATTATTTGGCATTCTCATTTCTCTTCCTTTTGCTACCGCTTTTTCTAAAGTTTGAGGATTTTCTTACTTATTAACAATGCCCATAGAAGTGAGAAATTTGAGTAAAAGCTCATTTTTCCTCTTATACTCAAGTCGTTTTTCCTTGATCTGCTGAAACATTTGGTCTTTTCTATCTCTGCCTACAGAAACTAAGGTCAAACCTACCGATGATGGCTTTGGTAAGGAGTCCCCAGAGGAACTTAGGCCTCTCCAGAATATCGTCACTCCCATCATTATAATAGATAATAGGGAACTTATAATCATTCGGCTTGCGGATGATCCCAGAATTGTCAGACAACTTAGAGATATTGGCATCTTTTATAACTTCTTCGACTAAATCTAGCAACTACCTTATCTCACCTCTTCTCGGAAGACTTTCCTTACGTTCAAAATATCCTTCACTCTGTGATGACTTTGTATCATTGCCAAATTTCCCATCCGCTACAGAGGTTAAACTTATCAAAACTACAAAATTTCTTTTATGCATAACACCTCCAAGCCTGATCTATGCTCTCCCAAACCCTAAAGCCCCTGTCTCCTCCCACTAGGTTACTTACCTTCAGCCATGTCTTTGGTATCAGTAGCACTATCACTCTTGTCATGAACTTTCTTGGGGGTTTTCTTACTGCTTTTCCGTGCACTAAATGCCATGAATAAAATAAAATATAACTCAACTTTTTATTATCCTCTCGGGGTTTTGGGGTTTTGGGGTTTTGGGGTTTTGGGGTTTTGGGG